TCGGACCACAAATCTAGGTCTTTCAAAAGCTGTCTGGATGTTAAAAATGAATCTCATAATTGATTTTTTTGAAGTAAAAAAAATTGTTTAATCTAAATTAGGTTATTTGACATTTATCATGCGTACAATGATAACGTATGACCTGGTACATTACAAACTTTGGCAATTGTATGTGAGCCCCTTATGTTTCGGCGGAGCTATTTCCACGCAAAGTTGCGACTTTTACGATAATGTCAGCCATTGCCATTCAAACGCGCTAAAACTTTATCTATGTGTGTGAAAGGATAAGCGTTAGGATCACATCTTTGAATATAATTGGTAACATGTAAAGTTAAAATCTTCACATAATCCAACTTATGTTTAGGGAACCAAAGTAGGTAATATCTGTCTAATTTTGGTAAATTAGCTGTCTACTTATAACCTTTATGAGAATGTGAGTTTTAGTCATCCCTAGCAGAAATGTTTTTTTCTATTTAATACTTCTTATTTAAAAAGTATCTATCTATCTACTATCCCTCATTGAACATATTTGTCAAACCACCTTTCGCTTTAAACTAATTTAAACTGATCTCAAAAGCAAATAACAGATCATTGTGACTTTGCAGCGAAATTTAAGTTATGATTGGCTTTTGATCTCAAAACCATCTGGTTACATTTTTATCTTTATTTAAAATAGAAACAGTTTAAATAGTAAAGAGATATAAAACACAATTACTTTCATAAAACAATATTGTATATACAATAAGAAAACTACTATAGTAAATAAATTATTTAATTACAATACAATTATATTTTTGTGTTTTTATCCACCTTACTAGAAAAGTTTTTTATATACCGACAACAATCGTATTATTCATATAATCTTATCTTCTAATGTTATTTAACAGATTTTTTTTTATTTTGTATTATAATCTCTATTTTAAATGACTGAGTAAGTATTATTGGTCTTATAATATCTTAAACTTTAAAATTGTTAGAAAGTCTAATCGGAGTTACCAGTTTCTATGGCGAATTAATATAATCCATTAATAATTAAAACAATATAGAGATTCAAAATCAGACTTTTGGTAAGTTTGATAAATTGTCTGTAGTTGTCTAAGGAATAGGAAAGTAAAATATTTACGTTACACCATTTACGCGTTTTGGCTAATTTAATGATATTTCAATCAGACATGCTTGTTGATTATATCGAATAAAACCGATTTTTTTAAAGGACAAAATAGATAATGGATTTAGCTCAAGCGAAAAAATTAAATTGTACAATTTCTGTGCGCAATTCAGGAATTAGACGGGCTATTTTACGAGCTCAGACTAGCTAGATTTATTTTTACAGAATAGTGGTCACTAGTAAGCCCTTAACATTTGTCAGCTCGTATCCAAACTTTTTAAGGACGAAGATGATGTCCCAGAGTGACGTACTGCCGTACCATCGCAAACGTGACAAGTTTACTTTCAGTTATCTTGGCCTAGCATACATTGAACCACCCAATGTAAAGGTTTGAGTCCACCTCAATGTATAATAATTAAGGCGTTCAGTGTTTTAGGGTTCATTCTAAATAGTTCACGTCAAAATTAATAGATTCCTCTTATCGCTAATGAGTCACGCTTAAATTGGTATCGTCTAATTCGATGAATGGCTGAATTTTCAAATTAATCAACCATGACCTTTTCTTTTCAACTTTATTTGATCCCAGGTGGCCTGCAAGCTGATTTGTTAAAACTTCAGAGCTGTACTGACTTCCCTCTATAGCTTAAAACACCCGTTTATATCACGTTATATAAAGCCATATAGCTTCTTAAACTACACTTGTTATTTTTAAATACTTTGTTCTTGTTTAAGTTGTGTACAACTCTTTGTTTTAACACCTATATAATTCATTTAATCAAACGTAGAACAGTTACTGAGGGAGAGTTATAAGTAATACGTACTTTTACAAAAATGCCAACACAAAGCAAGGTAAAGACTACGAACCTCGAATATCGTACTTGTTCAAAGTAACATTATATTGGTTCCAAATAAACTGAGATAAATATAGCCTCCCAATTTTATTTACGTCCCTATTAAGTATTACACCCCTAAAAGTATCTTGAATTTTTCAGTGCTTCAAATTATATATAAATTTGTTCTGTAACACAAATATTATCTTTATAAAATTTTGGTTTACATAGATTTTCACTAGACAACCCCTAAGTAAAGTTTTATTATTCTAAGAAATAACTTCTTCTAATTCACGATAGATATTAATATTCAATATAAAATAAAACAACTTTAATAATGGATTGAGAAATTTTGCTAATAAAAAAATTATAACATATTAAATTCGGATTTACGGGTACATTAATTTGTACGTTGCTTTTGAAGCAATTTATGACAACATAAATCCATATAAAGCAAAATATATCATATAAATACGAAACTACCGGTATCGGAGTATTCCAGACTGTTTCACTAGTAATTAATTAACAGAAATAAAAGCGTCACGACCCCTACCGCGTTGACACTCGCTTTACTTGGTGATTTCAAAAGGTTTTTTTAAATTTAAATTAAATTGCAATGGCCATTCACAAAAAAATGGAGAGTTTAAGTTTGTTTTTCAAACATTAAGTAGTTTATTCAAATGTAAATAATCAGTTTATTCATAATTATTTGTCACCAATAATCTTTTGAGTATATCAGAGTGTGAAATTAATGGACTTCAATATTAAAATTGGCTAGATTTTTAAAAGACGTGAGTTCTTTAGTTTATTAATGTCCTGAAACATTATTAAATCATAAAAAGCGCTTAATGAGACTTCCTGGAGCTTCGCAATGTAAACGAACTCTTGGACGGTACGGAACTCAAGCAAGAATAACTTACCTCATCATAATTGCTAGTAAAATACTACTAATAAACTGCCTTGTTGGAATTTCGCAGCCGTTAACCGAATTTATTTAATTTCTATTAATTTAGTCTGGTAAGCAATTTCATTAAAAAAAGGGGTAATATTTTTAATGAAACTTCCAAACGCAGCCAACGTTTGATTACGGCGGAAGGGTGTCGACGTCTGTTTTGCGACATTTAATTACACATAAAATGCACAACTGGCTGTTTACGCCGAGACACTTATAGAGCAATGAACGACAACTTTATTGACACACTCACTTACCGCTGTGTAATTTTAAGAGAACTCCAGTTGCTATGTTTGTGTTCCAAATTAGAAAGTATTTGCCTTGCTGCTGTGTAATTGCTATTCAAACTTTCGATAGGAATTTAACGTATTGTTTAAATAGCATTACATTCAATCAAAATTATAGACTTCTAATCATAATCAACGTCTACGGACAATTCAAAATAAATATATGTAAATGATATTTTTAATCCTTAATCAAACGGTTCTTTGCAAGTACTTTTTAATCGTTAAATACAAATTTATGCAACGTACGATCACGATTTAATTTAAGTGATAAAAATAAAAATAACGTCTTTCTTTTGGTAATATTTTAGATAAATAAAAATATGATGACATTTTCACTGGACCACTATATTGTAGAGCGTCATACATATAAGTAACATTTTATAATTAACTAAATGAAAAAGGACTTCTTTTATTTAAGTATTTCAAATTTAATAAGCAGTGACTGTTATTCATATATTCATTTTAAAATTATACATCTCTAAATGAAACACAAATTCGGAAAATTCGGATCTTTTTATAGTGAAACTAATACTGTAGGCAACCGCAACTGTTATACACTTCATGCTTCATATTGAGTTTAATTTTAAAATGTTCGTAGCCATATTTCGTACGTACTTTAATAATGGAAATCTCTTTAAATAGGTTTCACAAAATCAAAATTATGAAATCATACTAAAATAGTAATACCAACGATAATATTTCAACCAATGTTGGAAAGTTGTATTGTTGGTAATTAACTGATTAGAATGGTCTCTTATTGCAAAAAAAATCATAAAATCTAATTATTTCCTAATCTTCTCCTAAGTAAAAGAATATTGGAGTAAAAAGTCCACAACTATTAATAAGAGTGAATCATGCCAGCCATCGCATTACACAAACTGCATGGGAATGTATCAACTCGAAACACAATTCAACAATTCCAATGAACCGCATGACAAGTCTATTTAAGTTATATCAAACAATATAACTGGAAAACATAGTGCTTCATTTACTTATAAAAAGTTAAAGAAGTGTTAATTAGTGTCTACATCAAAGACTTAAGACTTATGCTTAAACAGAACATACATAAATGCTATCATATCAATTATGAAAGGTTATTTAAGTAATATAGTGTGTTATTTGTGCTGTATTAAACTTTGTTTTGTAGTTTGTCATCACATCAGAAGTCAGCATCGCTAAGTAATTCTGTGATGTTTCAAAACAATAATATACCAACTATAATGGGGCTCTTGTTAACAATATAATTGCTTTCATATTTAGTAGCCATAGTCACATATTTTATGTGCTTCTGTATTACACAAATCGTCTTTTTTGTATCTTATTATCTATATGTCTTACTATCTGTTTATTTCTAACAATTTTACATTTTCACACTATATGCATACACTGTAAGAGTATTTGATACGAAATGGTTCTAATTTTCAAGACGTCACACCAATCGAATATTTACCATAAACGCTCTCTCGAACACATAAAGACCTTAGGTCTTATTTTGTGTGTATATTTCCCAATCCCTAAATACTCTTAAGAACTAAGGAACTCAATAGACTACTTAGTTGTATTGAAATCAGTCTCGGAAATAGTACTCAAGACCCCTCGCTCCCCGAGCTTTTCAATATTTCCATGCCAGATACTTAAGTGGTTTAATTAAAATGTTAAGCTTTTACAAACAGCATTAAATATTGAACGAGCTTATTATAATTATAGTGAATTTAGAAAATTTGTCATTGTTATTAAAAACAACACTCAACTTAATTGAAAGTATGCTTTATTAAGTACTAGGACTACTAGGAAAGAAATTCTTTGTAATCAAAATTTATTAAATGTTAGGTCATAGCTTTAATGGTAGAGCTTATTGCGAAGATAAGATTGTTAATGTAAAATATGAATTCGTAGGTAAAAGTGTATGTATAGCTCTAATTTATAGCAGACGCTCCATAGCGTGTCCTGACATTCCCATAGGAGATTTTTGTTGTTGATATACAACATATTACGTTAATATTACAGAAGCTTTTTTGTTTGCTTCGAAACCCATTTTAAAACTAGTATTGAGAAAATGGAACGAGGAGTTTAAGTTTTATAATTATCAAAGTAGTCTTTAAACTTTAGGAACTAAATTAAAGAGTTTTCAAAGTCTGTAATCCTCAAAAGAATTTTTCTTTGACTAAGCATAAATGGAGCTGATTAAACTATATTAAAAAAAACTATTTCATGTAATAAAAATACTTAAATAATATTAATAATTGTTATTGGGATTTATCTTCAAATCTTAAACATAATATAATGTAATTACAAGTATGACAATAAGTAGGTAAAAAAAACAACTACTTTATAAGGAAATTAAAAATATAAAAAAGATAAAATAAACATGGAGTTCTTATTTTATATTTTTTATTAAATCTACTTTAGTTTATAAAATATTCCTTTTACATTGATTCAAAGAAACAATCTATACAAGACTGTTCTATTTTCTATGAAAAACCATTTCAATGATTATTAGTAAATTAATATTAATTTAAAATATACGTCATTGCCTGTTACAACATATAGAATTATTATAAAAGAATTACAAAATACAATACATTGAAAAACTATATTATTAGGGCAGAGTATATTGCTAATCAATTTGAGTGTCCTCGATTAAAAGCCACTTTGGCTCATGTGCGAAGTGGCGGACAGCTATGTATCTCCACTTGTGATAAACATTAAACAGATGCTGTCTCATCGACTTATAGATTTTTAAAGTACAAACATTCAATGATTTCAGATGTTAAGAGTTCTGAGAATTCGTGGAGCAGTAATACTATATTATTTTATATAAGGCAACTATTACATATAGCAATGATACCAAACACTACTGAAATAATATTTATAAGGCATTTTGCAACAATTATATATCAAAGAAAAACCTTATTACTGGGATAAATGAAAATAGAGGATCTTATATAGGATAGCGAGCTCATTTCCCCCTTTTATCGCTTTGCTCTTTTGACTAAATAGACTGGCAGTATTAGAAAAATTATAATATATACATACATATTATTCGATATTGAAATGAAGCAATTATTTATTATTTTTGGTTTTATTTGTTTTCAATATGTTTATCCAATTAGGCAACCAACACATTCATTAGTAGGATAAGTACCATAATTGATTCTGTTAATGAAGGCAAGTGGGGAATTGGTCAATAGCTTTCACGAATTCGCAGACCCTAAATTGAAACGGTTTTCAAGCAGGAAGTTGTGTACGACATAATGATCTGATTAAATTCAATTCGTATTGATATCTTTTGTGACTATAAACATACACCATGTATAACGACTGTCAATGCTTCGTCAAATATAGACAGCGAATTTCTCTCAGGTGTCAAGTGTACGTAATCATAGCCATGTTAAAGATCAATTTATGATAGGTTTATAGAAATATTATCTACATTCAATATACGCATATTTATATGGATGTAATATTTTAGTTGGATTTTAATTGCTTTCACAATAATTAATAAAGAGAGTATAGAATAAAATTATTACAATAGGACCGAGCAAAAATGCATGATGTAAATTTTTTAGGTAACAAAATAATAACAATTTAGAATAAATACAGCTTTATTTTAGTAACATTAATAATTCCTCGGGCAAATAATATGAAATAAAAAAATATGTAACATAACTCTTCTTTTGTGACTAAAAAATGTTTACTTTTAATGATTTGTATAAATTTTAACTTCACATTCGAAATGATTTCTGTTTCCAATATTATCATCTGCTTTCTGTTCTGTGTTTACCTTCTTATATAAAAGTTTTGATTGCTTGATCACATTGAGTTACTAGATCCAACTTATTTTTATTAATGCACAAAATAAATAAAAGTAATAGGTAGAGAATGTATATATATCACAGATTTTATAATGGTATGAATTCTGCCTCTACTCAATAGATAGGTCAGAATTATATACATATTTCAACATCAAACAACGGCAGTTCATTAAATGAGTATGTATGTAAGTACCTTTAGGTTTTCGTCACTTAATTTTTTTCTATTTTAGAACTCTAAGGAATTTTAATTCATAATGTAAAAACTCAGCTTCCAAATATAATAATTAAGCAATATTATTATTAGAAGGATTATAAGGGTTTTCAAACTTTTCATTTTTTTATTAACTGCAATAAGAGTACGGATAAAGTGAAAATCACTAGTGTCACTAAATCGTTGTCAATTTTATGGGTAGACATAATATTGTTCAGAATATAAATAATATTAATGTATTAATGCCTTTATTTACTGTATATAGTATATTTATGATACATACAATATGTATAATATGTCATAAATGTAAAGTTATGTCATAAATCTTTAGTATATACAATAAATACATTACTAATTTACTAATTACCATAGACTAGTATATCAAAGTAATATACGGTAAATTCTATCATGGGTGTATCTTAGACGAACTTCGATGTAGTAAGTTTCGAGATATTGATTTCCAGACTGCAGCCTCTCACAACTCACTGCTAAATATAATTAATAAAACATACATTTCTACATTCTATTACAATGTATATTAAAAGAAAAATCTAAATAAAATAGACGAAATAACCATCGAATACTATCTTTGTTGACTAAAAGATTATTTTATAACCTGAAACCTATTAGGCGCTTCTAAAACTTTAACATAATACTGAAGTCTTATTTTTCCATCTGACTCCGAAACAATCGTGACCAATTTGCCTCCATGCGAATAGTCACGAGGAGCTAATAAAGTAGAAATGTTTACGTTGGAATAAATGGCTGGAGAAGGCGACAACGTTTGTCGGGTTTTGATACCGCCATATTGAAACAATACATTACCTTGACTGTTTGGTTCCCCAACCGATACACCTGATACCCGATCCTTATTGTGTATTCAGAGCAAAAATCACTCGTTCTAAAAATTTCTGCTTTATTTATTTAAATATTTACCCCAACTACAAAAATAATATCCATTAAATAAGTTTATTATCTCGTGACAATGATGAGAGATATGAACAATAACATAAATTAAAAAAACTAACGAAGTGAATGCGAGAACTTTAACATATTGTTACATAATTATGGCTGCAGCAAACAAAACCCAATACGGAAAGACAATTAACAAGAGTACCATCAAGTATAAGTGTTGTGACTGCGACTGGTATTGGCATTTTTATTTAAATTTCCTCTCTTATTTCTATCGTGGTAGGGACTAAAACTGCTTCCAAAGGAGCCAAACTACGCGAGCTCATTTGAAGGGGGGCGACGTGCACTATCTCAAGTAGTGAAGATGACAACTAACGCCTGTATTTACGTATACATCCATATTTACACTTTTAATTTGCTAAAAAAACTCCCACATAACTGTGTTCTATAACAATATAATAAAAAAGTATAAATTATGATACGTATGTCACACGGAAAACATAAACAAAACAAAAAACTGTACCTTGCTATATCCAGATACAAAAATATATATGAATAATGTTTTTGCCTTTACAATAGAAATTAAAATTCATCTAAAAGATTGAAAAAAAGTATCTATGTAATAATAAATTATTACAAATAAAAGTAATAATCAGTTTACTCTAATGAATAGAGAAAAATTGTTTTCTGTGCTGTAACAAATACTTTTTCTCCCTGTATCATGTAACTAACAATAAGTAGAACAATTTATTATTAAAATTTTGTTGTAACACTTCGTTTTAAATAACATGATATTGGTTATATATTATATTATTAAATATGTTAAAAATCTATTTACTTCGATATAATAACGACTCTTTTCGACGACGACGAGAAATACACACTAATAATCTTATATTAATTATCGAAATTATTTAAATTTTAATGAAATTCAATTTTTTTTTATTAATGAAAAATTATATTCAAACTACCTTTAAAAGGTTTCAATGAGGGATATTAAACTTAAGCAACAGAACAAAATGAAGGCTTAAAATATTTAATCCTTTATAACATTGAATTTTTAAATATTTGAAATCAGAATGATCATTGAAATGAATACAGATAGAAAACGAAACGCTGCCAACAGGGCCATCTCATGTGTATGTGTATGAGTGATATTTTGAGGCCACAAAATTCACGCGCTTGTTGTCTTTATTCGCCAATTTACTTACATTTGCGCTGCGCCCCGCTGCTCGTAAAGTAATATTATCCACCGCTGGGCGAGGGCAATAGTGCCTCTTTTACGGGCCGCGAGTGAACGTCACTTGGGAAATTATTTGACGTGCCGTTTAATGGATTTTTGCCTTCATAACATGCTACCTCCAGCCAAATAAAAATACGAATATACAAAATACTTTAATAACTAGGACGTACGTGGTAATACGGAATATTTTATAGACAAATTTTACGTTTTATGATTATATATATATAATATATGAATGATTCTTTCTTGTTACAGAGTACACGGTGACAAGTTTGGAGTTATTAGAGCTCCGGGTCCCGGCTCATGTGCCTTTGGGTACACGGGCGTCACTATCTTGTCGATGGCAGCTTGGACCTAGCGACGTTCTGTACGCCGTTAAATGGTATAAAGATGGAAAGGAATTCTTCAGGCATGTTCCCCGCGACGTAGAACCGAGAAGAAAATTCTTACGTCCTGGAGTCGATGTAGAGGTCAGATTCTATTACATTTAAACTTTCTTGCCAGCAATAATAAATATTCAGAATTCTACCAAAATGAGTTCAATGATTTTATCTACGTAAAGTATTATAAAAAACTTCTATAAACTACAAAGTCATCCATATCAAATATTAGAAGTAAAATAATGGAGAAACCATAAACATCGCATAATTAAATTAATCCGTTAGTAAACTTAGTTTACTTAGGTCTCGGGCCAAATAACTTGCTGGCGGATATTACGGGGAGAAGAGGCGGACGCGTAAATAAACTCTCGTATGAAAAAACTAACTTTTTCTCAATTAGTTGCCACGCTCAACACTTAATAACTTTTATACTCCTCTTAGCCTCATTCATATATGGAACTGTGAATTATTAAAAAAGTAATACTCATATATTACTGTTACTAAAACTAACGTACAGTAAAATAAGATGAGTACAGATATTTTTAAAAATAAAAGCAAAAGAGATTTTTGAGTCTGCTTATTAATTTCGGATATTTTTATAATAAAAAATATTTTTATAACATTTTTATGATAAGGAATATATATCTTCACGAAAGGATATACTTTCAAACGAGTTATAATTAGTTTCAAAAGACTGTCCTCTCATGTTCATCAAGATTCCACGAAGTAGGCCATTGGACGTAATTTAAAATAAATTCCAACATTTTTTCAACCTACTCAATTAATCACATTAATTATATTGGAAAATATAAATAAATTAACAAAGTTGATCTGAATGTGGATGTGTATAAATGCGTTACTATCATTTACAAAACTTGGGTTTAAATTAACAATTCAATAAATGTTATTGGTTTCAAAAGGTTTTACAAGTTCAGATTTTATTCTTTTAAATTTCAATGACTGTCACGCGTAAGTTAGTTTGAGACTCGTAGGTTCTACTGACTTTGAAAAGCGCTATAGTTTGTGTCGTAATCACATAAATCTGAAAATTAATAAAACCCTACAAGGAAAATTCTATCATTAGGCCTAGGCAATACCTCCACCCGAGAAGATCGTGATATTGAAACTACTCATCATAGATATCCAATTGATCTTATTAAAACTAAAAAACTTGGTAATAATTAGAGACCGTTGGCAGGGATATTCTTGATAATGTAGTTCTCAGAAAAATATGAACCGATGTGAATATCATCCCAAATTGAAAAATTTTGTTAGTTGTACTAAGATCCCATACACGTACGACTTAATGGACTCAGTGGACTCAAGTTAATACAACACATTATAAAAATGGGATACCATCGTGGTACACGGACAGAACACAAATTATAACTTATTATTTTTATTCTTTGGAGGGTTTTCGAATACTATACTTGACGATGATGATTAGCAAAAGCAGACTAAATAAATGACTTCTATTATAACGGATACAGCTTATAAAATATGACCATTATCAACTGTTAAATTTGGGAATACTCTGTTTGAATACCCCTAAGATATAATTTATATCAATCAATTTCTTGACCACTTGGATAAAGTTTGACAGTAAAATTACAATTAGTTCTATATTTTTTATTTAAGTAAATGAAAACTTATAATAAGAGATAAGTATTTATTATTATTTTCTGTTGTATTTAAAAATATTTATATAAATGTAAAAGACAATAGTGGGTTCAGTAGTAACTTATCCATATTTACAATATCTGTTTACTAAGCGTAGGCCGAAAAGATTCTGAGAGACCCTTCCACAGTTTGTGCCCTGGTTTACTATTAAAAAAATATAGAACACCAATAAAGTTCAAAGGTTTACATAAATTAAGATAAGATGATCAACAAAAACGCAAATCGTATGTTATATAATGTAATTACATTTTTAGTTGAGGAATGAGTATACCAAGGAGAACACAAAAGGTTGAATAGGAAACAACCAGTGAAAAGTTCTGGATTATTGCTTTTTTCAGATAAACCCCAAATTTGTATTAAAACGTAAAAGAGAAATCACATTTACATAGACTTAAAATAAAAGGACTACTTAAATTTAAAAGGAAATCCAATTTGTCTAACTTAGCTCTAGAGAGATTAGAACAACAGATATTTGCATAGTTTGTAAGGGGAAGGCTAAGACACAGCACTAACATATGTTTGATCCAAATAAGTAAAACAAAAATAAAATGATGTAGCAACGTAACAAGGAAATTTTTTTCTTACCCATCTCAAACTTGTGGACGTTCCCAAACAATTGTGATCAAGAGTAAGTGAAATGTGTAAGCCTTGTTTATAACGTTCATGTGGACAGAATACTAATTGCTGCGACCATGCTAGCTGCCAATTATTATTTCACACTCAGGAAACTACGTAACAAATAAAGAAAATGAATTAAAAATAAATTGTAATAAAAAAAGTATTCTAAAGTTACTTATGTATCACAACTTTAATCACAAATTTATGTTTTTTTTTTTGTAAAAGAAAGCGAAGTAAACAACGGTTTGATGTGTATAAGGTAATGCATACCGCGGTGGCGCGCAGCGAGATTTATACGCCGTGATCCTGAACAATCAGTGTGTGTCAAGCCTAAACTGATCCGTAGATATCATGTCAATCATAGATAAAAAGAATTTATATCGTTTTTTCACATAACATTAAATTATTCTCTCAAACGATTATTCAATGTAATTCTTTAAATAATTACTTTTGTCATTTAAAAACTCTTTTAATAATACAAACTAAACTAAACATTTTTTGCGAGTCTCAAAAGCCAATACGAGCCAATTTATTTTCTTTCAGTCTCTTTATATTATATTTAAAATCCAAAATACTAATGAAGCAAGCAACATGTTAACTATGGAGATTTTTAAGCAAAAAATTAGAAATGTAGATAGGATTTTTTTTATAAACTGATGTACATATTTTATCCTTTAAAAAAGTTTTCCACTCTTATATGAAAGTAAATAAATTTCTACATAATAATTTGACTGAGAGTTGATAACATAACTAAGAATTTATAACATAAAATCACTCTTTAAATATATCATTCTGATGGCAGTTTAATTAATTAATATCCTTTAAAATGAAAATGAAAATTACTAGTATAGTTAACGATATCATTAATATAACCGAAATTTACTTTTGTAAACTCAACATTTATCTTATTAGAAAGTAGAAATAATATTATAATGAATTAAATTATTATTAGTTCCTGATATATCAAATTGGTGTTTTGTTAAGCGGTTTCCTTTTTGGTTTTTTTTATTTTTTCTATTTAATTTTCACACATTTTGATTGTTAAACATGCCCTTTTATGAGTTTACTTAAGAATTTTTTAAAAAATTTGCTATTTATCCCGTAGGACCAGAGATACAGGTTCACGATAAATAATAATTTAGGGTTTCCTCGGAAAGGCGTCTATTTCATAATATGATGTATAAGACACAACTGTAACAGTAACTAGGGAAATTAAAATTGTATCTTTGCTTGTGAAACATAAATTGATTCTTACGACATTCGAAGATGCCCCTAAGGGTGATTAAATAGAAGAGAACTGAAGATATTCTCTTTCTAGCAAAAGTTGGTATAATAAAATGTATTGTTGATTTTTTGCTCCTCTAGCTTTGAAGTAATTCACTCTTCATAGGTGTTACTTTTTTGTTTACTTAATTTATCAGTAGAGGTGAAAAAAGATACATATTTCATGTGATAATTTTCAATAAAAACTCCTTTTTTAAAAAAAATGGAGTGCTTTCACTTATTATACAAATTCATATGTAAGGACCTAAAATTATGTTAATTTTTTATTTTCAAATACTTTCCCTATTGGTAATATGAAAAAATAATAAAGAATTATGGTGATGAATAGTAATAGTAAAATCCGTATTTTCATTTCCTTTTGAGTATTAGCTTTAGGTATTTAGCTGCAAGTTTTTATAATCAAGTAACCTTCTTTTCCATAGTATCCTTTTTTGTTGACATATTAACTATATATCACAAAATATTATTTACTAATATATTAACTTCATCATCTCAATCTAGTATACATGGTAAGTTTCTAATTTTCTATATCACAGGGCAACTTATTTTTGACGTTTGCCTTATACGTCCGTCCTTAATTTCTATTTAAAGTATTTTAATAAAACAAAAAATAATCCCCAAAAAATATTAAGAGATTCTAGTTTATTTTAGTATTATTAAATTATATAAGATACAAAAAACAAAAGTGAGAAGCGAGGTCTGGCTTTAAGAACAATGCAAACTTCTATCAAGCCACATTTTAGTCTAGTGAGGCTTGCCCTTTAAATTTAGCTTATATTCATTTATTTTTTACTTTGCACTTTATGTTTGTTTTGTTTTGTAACTAAATTTTTTAGTTATTGTATGTTTTTTTTCTATTATGTTATTTTCTGTCTTGTGTTTTTTTGTGAAATAAAGGATATAATAATAATAAATAATAATAAATAAATAAGATTTTAATATATTTAAAGCAAGGTCAAAAAAGGGCTGTTTTTGTTTTGGTAAATTTAAGTGTCAAACAAATAATCAGGACTCTAGTAATGATGTATTAGAATCTAAATATAAAACGGTCAGCTGAGCTCCCAAAACTAGACTTTTTGTTAAGACCCAAAGTTTGAAGATGATATGTCACCTAAAGAGAAGCAAAAAAAAAAACCTCCTAAAATTCTAATTTTATAACCATCATCCTTATTTTTTATTACAGAAACTAAAATGAAACTGTACGTAAATTGAAGAATTGGAATAAATCTTCTTTTATTTTCTTTTAACCGTATCGTTTCGACTGAATTGTGTTTCGAGTTTCAATTCAAAAGCTTTTATTTTTTCAAAAGTCCCTTCAAGTAGAGCAGTAAGCCGAATTTCATAATATCTTATTGTAATACACACAAAGTTTTAACCAACATTATCTCAATAAGCTATCTTTGATTAAATTAAATTTATTTGTATAAAATACAAAATTTTATATTTAAATATTTGTTCACGTTAACTAAAACAAACAGTGCATTGTATTTAAAATTCATCAGCCAACAACAAAGTATGATAGCTTAATAGTTTAAAATGAATACTCGCGAAAATCTTAGATCACATTATTTAATAGTTTTATCAAAGAAAAGTTTACGTTTTACAGCTCTATAAGACAGATATAATTTAACATACTCGTATATATGGTTAAGTCGGTTTTGCACAAAACTAAATAAAATTCATTTTAACAGCCCAGAAGTCAACAATTATGATACTTTTATTTAAAAATGTATAAATTTATATGTTTTTTGTGAATTCTATCCAATACGCTGCAATTAACCTTTTTGTATGTATTATAGGTGTGTATTTATTTTATTCACAATTAAATTATTCATAATTTTAGCACATCCATATCCATTGACGTTGTAATGATTCCAAACAGTTAATACGAGAATTCGAAGAAATATTTATTTCATTCTCAACGGGTAATAATATATGTATAATTAACATATACAGGGTGACTGGTGAATTACTATCAATATTTAAAGAGCATACTCGGTACCTGATTCTCATTCGAATTATGTAAAAAAAATAGGTACTTAATTTTTGACCAAATTTCCGTATAAATAAATAAAGTGTAGACACGTTCCAAGTGTTCCAAGTGTGGACGCGTGCGGCGGCGTGCTGATACAACAACACGCCGCCGCGCGCGAGTGTGCGTGTGTGTGTGTATACCTAATCTGTAGGGTGTTCATACGATGCGTAATTAATTACATAACTTTTGGTTAACTTTACTTAGAAGTTTATTAATATTTATGTTATATTAATTTATATTTTGTCATATATGATCGTCAAATATCACGTCTTCAAATATCGATAGTAATTCACCAGTCACCCTGTATATATATATAAAATATTCTCCTCTATCATAAGATAATTTTCTTAACTTTTAGCTTGACAATTTTAAAGAAGTTCCGTTCTTAATATACTAAAACAACTCACGGTTTTCTTCAACAAGAACCAATTATTTTATCAAAGAACAAGTTGAATTCTTTCCTTAAATTTAATACAGGCTGTCTTTCCTAAATGCGATTGCACATTTATCGAATGTTCCGGGTCAATATGCTAGGTTAAAATGTAATATAAAATCTGAATATGAGATTATTCAATCGCTTTTTACCAATTCAATTGCAATTCTTAAAGGGGCACCTCCTGAGCAATCCTATCTTTTCTAAGACTTACGAGGCACGTGTTACTTTCCAATTTGCTATTTTGTATTCAGACTTATACCTAAAACAAACTTCGAACCGCAAGCGAGGCCCCTAGTAAAAACTATTTTTATCCCTGTCCCTTCATAAAAAGTGCTCTGTAACATTAAGATAGTTGGTTCACGTAAGTCTTATAATATTTAGCTGTCAGTTATTTTGCAAAAAGCTACAACTGAATCAAATCTATAATTGAAAGGACACCTGAACTTTCAATACTTTGAGTAATTTTGAAATATTCTTGCAGAATTCGAGTCCGAATGGCTCAAATGTAACCCTATCTCCTGCGGTATTGGAAACTGGTGGGCGATATCGTTGCGAAGTGTCCGGCGAACGTCCACTATTTCCTACCGTATCTGACCATGCCGATATGATTATAGTTGGTATGTATTCTTACTAATATTTGTTAACAAAGAAAAAAACCTAATTAATAAATCGAATGATCCAATATTATAGCAAGATATAATTAGATTTTTCTTAACGGAGTTATTTTTTTTCAGCTTTACCCGCAACTGGACCAATTATTACGGGCTCCAAACTAAGATATCAAATAGGTGATAGAGTCCAGGTTAATTGCACTTCTGGAAGATCTCGACCAGCTACCAGGCTGTCTTGGTACATAAACGGCGAACCAGCCCCTCTCTCCTCGGTATTAGCTCCAGAAAGTTACAAACATGATGACGGTCTAGAAACGACAAGCCTTGCTCTGGATTTCAAAGTAAAACCTAAACATTTTAGGAAAGGAGATCTCAAGTTAAAGGTAATTTTAATGTTTTAACATTATTGTAAACAATTTACAATATATTGAAATAACAAAAAACTTTTCTGCAGTGTCTTGCTACTATTGCGACCGTATATTGGCGGAGTAACGAGGAAAGTGTTCAAGGAGAAAGATTTAAGGGCTATGCAAGATCCAAAGAATTGATCGAAGGTGCCTCCAGAGCTGATCGTGTACAGGCTGCAGGAAAAACAGGACCATGTCATTCCGTGCTAAACCTGTCATCTTTGCTGTTGCTTTTGATTATAGTATTACACACACCCTACCAATAATTATTGATTAAATATTCAAGATAAAACATTATTATTATATTAGATATTAAAAATACTTGATGTACCGTTTGCTTTCTATTAGAAAATATATCAAGAGACACTTACTTAAAAGAGTTATAAGCCACTTGAAAGAAATTTATATTATTTTATTTTCGAGTAGATATCGAAAGTCCCAAGATTATAAAATTAATTATTTATAAAAAAAAATATAATTAAAAATTATTTAAACACTAAATGTGATAGATAGATTTAAATGTAGGTATTGAAATTACTGCCATTTTTTCATAAAAAACATTTCCTTTTACTTTTTGTTTTGTATTGCTTGTCCAGTTACATAGTCCCTTTATATTACCATGTAATTATGATCCAAAGAATTTTTTACAGCCAAAGCAAAAAATTAATATATTTTACAACGCAACGATAGTAATTAATTTATATCGCGTAACGGATTATATAAAAATGGTATGGAAATTAAGTGTTCATGAATATCAATATTCGTTTAATAAAATACTAAAGTTTACTTTATTAATGTTTGAGCACAGATTAAAGACGTTTATTCAGTATTTTTCCGTATAAATAATTTCTATAGAAAATGAATATATTCGTTTTTATAAATATCAATAGTAATATTTCTAATCTCTGTTGTGATTACATGATTTCGTTTAAGCAATTAAAAATATAATCTTTTTAGTAGGTACTGTGTCACATTATTTATAAATGATGAATGTAAAGTAAAGTAATGCATAAAAATCCAGTGCACATAATATACTCATTGTAAATCGTTAGAGATTGTTTTGCTTTTTAAGCACGTATTATTTCAGCAAGGAAATTAATGGATGGAACTAATTTCTTTTGAGCTTGCGATGTATAAACTAAAATCTAGCCCATAATAAATATTATTTTTTTAGAAACTGCATCTGCTTTCAATATTTACATAGAAAGAAATAGTCGATCTTGGTTCAAAAATGTTGATTATTTCAATTCTTTTGTTACATATTATAATCAAGATAAAGGTATCAAAGTTTTGTTTTTTAAAATATTTGAGTAATATATTTTTAAAAAAATTTTATTTAAACAGGAAAAATACAGGATTATCCTAAAAATAAATCGCAAACATTTCTCACGGTAATGCATATGTATTAGTTTTATAAGAGAGTTACGACTTTAGGGATAACAAACTGTTGGCCCTTACGCCGTAATTCCTGTTTACTTATTCCATAACTTTAACTTATATATAGTCTTTGGTATTTTAATGAAAACAAAAACATTACGTCAATTCTTATCAAAAACTATCACATATATTCATAATCAAAAATTAAATCCCGGGTGACGGTTAAAAGAAATTAATATTTGAATTATCTAAGTACTCTGTATCAATTTTATCGTAATTCTATACAGGGAGACGTATAGTAGCATTCGGTATATAAAACCAAGCATGCATCCTAGAATATGACATACGATATAATGTATAGATATTTAATAAAACCCAGTCAATTCTCGGTACAACCGATGTAATTTTAATCTGTAGTAACTGCTTTTATTCGGTAAAATGCTTCTATAATAATAAAGTATTTTTCTTTAATTGACGTTCGGAACATTTATACCATTCCTAAGAATTTTAGACATTTCTTTACTAGCGTTGTGTAATATATCAATATATGTTACTTTAAAATATTTGCAAAGTATCTATTAATGTATTAATTGTAAATAAATATGTATTTCAGCTATGTTAAAATTTTATAATCTTATAAAATTGCTTGCGTAAAATAGGAATACACAGCTTCTACTATGTTGGAACCAAATAATATTCTATGTGCACTTACGTGAACAAAAAAAAATATGAAAAAATTACATACATATACTTCAGAAGGATTGACACGAAATTATTATTAATTTATTATATTTAAAAATATATGGCCAAGAAAATTCTATACATGTGTTGTATATATATAACAAAAAGAAAATTGTACTCTAGAAAATAGCTAGAAATTAAAGGTGTACAAGATTCAAGTGTTTATAAGTTAATAAAGTTATTGTTGCTTATTGTTATAAAATGTAATAGTAATTATAAATATGTAAATAATGGGTAAAGTAGCTCAAATATTAAATCATTAATATACTATGTGATGTATAAAATATGGCGTATTATTATCCCGAGAAAATCTTCCCTTCACATTATGAAGACGCAGTCGTGCAAATACTTCTCAGTGACCTTAAAAAATAACAAAAAATACACAAAACAGTACTTATAGAATTATTTAATACTTTTTAATTTTGAAACACATAAATTACAAATTTAATAAAAGTTTCAACCGATATAAAAATTTCTTACGCAAAATAAAACGCCCCTTAACACTTTCAAGGCGTGCGAACAACGAAATTTAAAGGATTATAAGGATTTTGGACCCGAACCTTAGTTTTTAATTAAGTTATTAATTTAGAATGAAATTGTTCAAAAGGAATCGACTTACGTTACTTTAAAAACTTTATTTGTGATCACAATATTTCATCAAAACTGGCTTGTATTACAATTAAAATGTCTCTTAATATGACCTCATATTAATGAACCTTTCAAATAAAATTTCAATAGCAAAAAGTAATAAAAGGAATTGATAATATTTTTTAAACAATTAAATAAAGATATCTAATGGTTAGATGTTAATATTAAGTAACAAATATCTTATCTTATTTAGTATTGGAATAGATCTTTTGCACAAATATAGAAGACGTCTTTGAATGAAACTCAGTCGTCGTAATATTCTAGTATATAAAATTAAGAGTGTCGCGTGCCGCATATCGATCTATTTGCATACAATATACATAAGGTATGAGACCTAACATTTCCTGCCACCGAAGCCGATTCCGTTCCAACCAACGCTCTAAACATATTAAGGAAAACAATCATAATTCTTAAATGTTGTTAAAAAATACAGCACACTGATAAACAAGGTTAATTAACGTTTCTTCCATATTGGATGGCCGATAAATAATTAATTGATTATTGTAACAGCCTTTTGTGTGTAAAATGGAGCTATCGGTGAAGTACTAGCCTGCTATGGTAGGCAATTTCTAACATTATCTAATCGAGGATTCTTTATTTAAAGGTATGGTTAAAGTTAACAACTAAAAGCACTAATGTATAATAAATAACTACTTTTATACCAAAATATATATCACTATCAATTTATAAATTTATTAAAATAATAACATTAAAAATTCGACAGCGTATAAAATAACGTACGTGAAAGCCTGACTGCTAATGTTATTTCATATTGTTTTTACTATTTAGGTCAATTATAACGTGGTTGGGTTTTTAATTATGAAATAACTTGTTTTGTTTTTAATGTATTTAAAACTAAAAATTTCTTCAAGCCTAAAAGTTTTATGTATTTCAGTTAATATAAGATAATTTCAAATATTTATATATACACCTTCACTACAAACTTAAACCTTTTTTGCCCTCTGTGCACACTTTTCATCATATAACAACGATATTAGAATTTACTGTCTTTTTCTCGAATTTCATGATTATAGCAAGAAGAAAGGAATGTTTTTTATCAATTAAAATGACTATAATTTTTACTGCATTTACTTAAAAAAAATTATTCATCAAAAAAAATTGAAGAAGAAGTACCTTTCATTTCTCATGAAGTCAGTCGTAATTGATCGGAAACATTTTTTAAGGTTTATGGGTAGCATTTATTTCTTTACATATAACTCACGCCTTCATCCGTATGGACTTCGGAAATAGTCAGATAGGTTTTTCTTATACTAAGCTTTGTAGTGTTTTGTATTGTCTTTTAGATTTTTTATTAGTGTGATCACGCATGAACGTAGTCAAACAGAATGTGAAGGAGCTCATGTTCATCTACTAGTTCTAAGCTAACTCCCTACAAATTTCCAACTAAATCGGTGCAGCCGTTCTCGAGTTATACAGATTGTAACTAACACAAGTTACTTAGATATATATATGTACATCAAAGCAAACTATTCAAAATAGATCCAACTACTCAACTCGCAATCTTAATCTATCAACAACAATACAAGCATTCAGACAGTAAATAAATGAGCTATCCATAGTCAATCCAGCTATGAGTCATCAGTCGCCCCCTATTACATGCGGTGCACTGTCCTTTTGCACTACCCCATCGTAAGGAAACCGAGGGAACAAATTTAAATGGGAAATGCCTGTAAATGGCTCACGCTATTGTCATATCGGAGGGGCTGACGGCGAGGGTAAATTTATCAATGCTTTGATATTTATTTAGCGTGTGAAGTATAAACATCCGGAAGGTCACAATATCTTACATCTGATCTGAAATCAATAATTTTTTCGTCAATACTTCATATATTGGTGAACACAAATTATATTATAAATTTTAATCATGATTTGGTGACACGATTATTTTACACTGCGTAGAAAATGCTTTTAAAAAATGTATTAGTTAAGTACATTTAAAGTAAGCTTTATATTTCACGCTTGTTCCCTATCAAATCGATACTCGTTATATATTCAAGCCATTTTTAATTGACTTACACCTTAATTGGTTTTTATGTAATGTTTTATACACTATCATTGAAAAATGAATTGTTAAATTATTTGGAAATTTATATCTACGTAATAACTACTAACAAATATAAGTCGTTTCATTTATTTATATAAAATACATCGTGAATATTAAAAAAAATTGAATGCGTATACAGTATATACAATAAATAGCTGTTTATATAAAAATACATTATGTATTGTATATAATTATATAGTAATATATATACATGAGTAAGTCAATGGTGGCCTAGTGGTTAAAGGGTCCGCCTCTCGTTGCCGAGGGCGCGGGTTCAAACCTGGCAAGTACCAATGTGATTTTTTGGAGTCATATGTACTCTCTGAGAGTACTTAGACAACACTGACATACGATGAAGGAAAAGATCGTGAGGAAACCTGGACTTATAGTTTGACAATTATAAGTTTGAAATCACCAACCCGTTTTGAGCAAGCT